TAAGAGAGCTGCTTTAATGTGTAAGAGTAGAGAAAAGGTGGACTAAAATTGCCAGAAGAGTGCGTCTCATCCCCCTCTTAGCTTCCTTGTATCTCCCACATTTCTTGCTCATCAGATTGAATATTTTTGTTTCCCAGTGCTCAAATAATAACATACATCTTTAAGAAAAAGGTTGTTGCCTCCTCTCTGCTAGGGGAAAACTGTCCTTTGGGCCAAGCAGTCTTTCAGATTGTGGAGAGCAGCAGAGATCAGTACAGGTTTGATGAGATGGTGTGTTTGGAGAGACAGTGTGTAGTGAGGGAAACAAAACTTATTTTACAGGAAAAGAAAGGTGTACTGAACCAAGAGGACAGTGTCTGCGAGGCAGCTTAGTATATCACTGCAAAAAAAGGAAGAGCAATTATAAAAATCAGTGGAGCTTTTCAGATTGCCTAAGGTTATGTGTACAGCACATTGTGCCTAGTAGGAGATGTAATATTAATTTTGCATTTAACATTGGAAAGCTAACTGTTGACGCCAAGAAGTAAATTCATAATGAATAAACTAACAGCAACCATTGCTCCAGTGGGAAGAAGTCACTTTGCTCTTGCAACAGGAAGAGACATTCAGACTCATACTTAATGAACAGCTTTACTTTCTAAAGTTGTGTTTGTTCTCCCCAGTGGAACCAGCCTGTGTGTTGTGTCTTTGCCAGCTTCCGATCTGAGTCCCAAATGGTCTGTTCTTGATGGAGAGGAAGATAAGCTATGCCTTTGTGGAGTGTGTAGTTCAGACTGTAGCTTTGAATGCAGAAGGACCCAGGTCCAGTTTTGGTATCTTCAGCTGAAAGGATATTGGTTAGCTAGCAATGAAAAACACCTCTGCCTGATTTCATAGAAGACTTCTGCCTGTTACATTAGGCAATAGAAAATTTAATGGTTCACACATGTGTGTTAATTACTCTATGACTTCAGCGGATGTGAATGACCCATTATAGATGGAATGTATCAGATGGAATTTGATATGCTTTGATATTACCTCAAATGTAGTGCTTTTCACATGTCTTACTTCACTCTGTAAGCATCAGAAGAAGTGGGTTTATATTCATGAAAACTCATGCAAAAATAAAAACCCATTGAAGTTGCTGCTACATTCCTTTTTCCCCCTCCTCCGCCTCTCCTCTTTTTATGCTGCAAAAGACTAACATGACTACTTTGAAAACTTTATACTTTGGTTACATTTACATTATCATAGTAATGGAGTGAGCCTTGGGTTCCTCCACTCCCTTTTCTCCTCTTTCAACATAGCTGTGGGGAGCTTTCACTTCTGTTTTTGGCAAAATATACCTTGCTCTTCTTAACTAGAAAGAACTTTTTATCTTAAGTGTGGTCTGTTTGAGGCAAGCTGTCTTCTAAATCTCAAGCTATAGCGTTTGCTTGTTTGAATAAACCATAGCAAAGATTATGCACATTTTAAGGTTTAGATGGCATGTTTAACAGTGATTAATGAAAGACAATGGTGATCTTGGCTATTGTGATGTAGGAGGAATGCACAAGATAAACACACCTAGTCTTGTTCTCATCATGATAATGAACCATAGTTTATCATGATGTCCAGTGTGACTTTTGAAAAACATTGTATTTGAGGTCTTTCAGCAATGCAATATGAAAATTGTTCTAGGGCCAGAATGCTGCCACTAAATTGTAAGTAACCAAATGCTGTGAAATAAGGGGCAGTGTGAAATAATTCATCCAGGAAGTATTGTGGCCATACATGCTGTGTGGCCCTACATGCTCTCTAGTCATGGGCAGCAGATTGTGAATGCATTGATTGATTTATGACACTTGCATCCTGCCCTTGCTTGAGGGAATTCAGCACAGCATTTCAACTGCAAAAACAGTCCTCTGAGATAGAAGCAAAGAACCTTTGAAAATTAATCTGAACGAGAATGGATTTCCCAGGGCTTGCTGAAAGTCACTGAGGAGTTGTGTAATGGATCTGGAGTTCATCCTCACTTTCCTATGCCAAGTTCTTTGTTCTTTCCATTGCATCCCACTGGCTCAAATATTAAGAAGCCATAACTGTGCATGTAAGGAGCATGGTAGAAAACAAGCAATGAGCGCTGTGTCATGTTTTTTTTTAAGGAGTATTTTTCTGCAGTCCACACAGAGCCCTGTGTGGTTCATTCCTTTGTTATGGAGGAGATGAGTCTCTTGCTGATTATAAGATCAAGCAACCTGGAACTGGAACAGATGTGATGATCCATTTTGGTGGGACATCTTTATAAAAACATTGGTGTGCAGGACAGCCAAGCTGCAGGAACTGGCACTGTAAGGTTGATTGTACGTTGCATACTTCATTTTGACAAACAGAATGTAAGTTTGGAAAGATTCAGCACATATTCACCATTCTGGCTGCCAGCTCTTGTTTCTGTAAAGGAGTTTCTCAACAACTGAACAATCTGCTGATAACTGTAAATTAGGTATAAGTCTTCTTCCATGCTTCCTGTTGACACAATTGCAATTCTTGTGTCTGATAGTGCACATTACTAATCTGACTCAGAGTATGGTTCAGTCAGCCATCTCCATTTAGTTATTAATGGAGAGGAAGAAAGCAAATAATGAATTACAAACAACAGAAGAGTGCAGTTTTCTGCTAATTTTTGCTTCTTCCTGCTTCACACCCACACCATCCTGGTGTAGTCAGTCTTTCAGCATTTAGGGAGGGAAACAGAATGAGTATGGAAATGAGTATCAGTTAGGTTAAAGTTTATTTTTTGTTTTTTCTTGGCCACAGCCTTTATGTTTGGATTTGGTCCTTTGCTTTTATTGTGTGTGTGCCTGCACACATATGCAGGGCATCTTAGAAATTATCTGGACTCTTCTCAGCAAAATAAGCAAGTGGAAGGCAACTTGAAATGGAAATGATTGGGAAGTTAAAAGGGGTAGGTGGCTTCAAAAATAGAGTTCAAAGAGTCATTGATCTCTTGAGTTGTGTGTTCTGCAAGTTTAGACTTCATAGTAGGGGCAGGCAACTGTCAAGAGGTTGAGGGGCACATTGAACCCCCTATGGGCAATTGGGGCATTTTGCTATACTTTAGGCATAGAAGAAGCCTTTACACAAACGAAACAAGAAGTGACTTTTAAAAATAACAGGTGACTTTTAACAGGTCATTTCCCCCCAACAATATTACAGCTGCCCCTCCATTTTTGCGGGGGATCCGTTCCAGACCCCCCCCACGAAAATGGAAACTTGCCAATATTCAAGCCCCATAGGCTTAAATGTCAGTGCATGCCTCATTTAGTTCCTCTCTGTTTGTCCCTCGTGTTTAAGTGAGGGATGCGTATTTGAAGTCCGCAAAAATGGAAGAACAACTGTATTTTCAATTTTGGGGGAGGGGAATGTGGAAGACAAAAATAGCCTGGAGAGCAGCATGTGGTTCAGGAGCTGAATTTTCTCCATCCTGTTTTATAGCAATGACCCTTTATAGCTTACTGTCATTTGAATTGATATTTTGAACTTGAACTGTATATGTTTTCTTTGATAATGAGAACTGGAAACTTTCCATGGGATGTATATACTCAAGGCAGATTCACACTATTGTATTGGGAGCTGCTTTTTCATTCATGCTGATTTGTTAGTCTGAATTGACCATGTGTATGGTGAAGTGATTTTTTAAAAAGTGGCTTACCACTTTGAATAATATAAATCTAAAATTCTGATAGAACTTTCAAGTGTTCACAGTGCTTCTTGTGCAGTATTTAAATGTAATCTTTATAACAATTCTACAAATGTCAGCATTATTAATATATCATATTTTAGAGGAAGGGAGTGAAGCTGAAAGAGAAGGAAATATGATTCAAACCTGGATTTCATGTAGTATGGTTCAGCCTGTTGGCCACAACTATGCCTGCATTTTTAATCATACACATTTCTTTAGTTAGTTTCCAGCTAGAGATGCAGGAGAATTTTGTTCAGCCTGCAGTTGTAAGTAAATTGACCTAATACACATTTCCCAACCCAATAGGCACATAAGAAGGCATTTGTTATTGTTACTGTGGATTTTGTTGTTTATTTTCTGACAGTTTTAGGTTTTAATGTTGTTTTTTGTTATTATGTTGTATTAAAATAAAATTTACTGTGTAACAAATAGAAGGCACCTGTACGTTTTCCCAAATTTTGCAATGTGATTCTTGTCTTTAAAAACGCTTAATGGAAAACAAATACCAAAAAAACCCCAAACAAAAAAAAAAAACAATCTGTATCTAATGGGGAAATTGCGTATAGTTGAAATACTGGTTTTTGTAAGTTTAAGAAACTTTTTCATGGAAAATGTGAATAAGCCTATGGTTGAAATTTAAATGAAATTGACACATTTTCAACTTTTCCAACTGTAGGTGGAACTTGCAAAATTCAGTAGCATCTGACGGTTTCATGTCAGTGAGTTGGTGTATCCATTCTAGGGTTTACTCTGTGTTTTAGAAACCAGGCAGGGTGCTGAACCCTGTGCCCAAAATGGGTTCACCACCTGAGGAAGGAATTCCATTATAGTTCGACCTAAACCCCAGAGCAGATTTACTGCCTAATGGAATGGAAGATACCAGTTGCCACCACAAAAATTATTATATTAAAACCAATAATATGCATCTGTATTCATTATTAAAAACAATGAAGAATGGAATACAGCAGCCAAGAGCTAAGTTTTAAAAAGAGGTTCTGTGTTAGTAACCAGGAAGTGTTCTTATATATATTAAAATCTTTTATCTGTTGATGGAAGAAGAATGAGGAATATATATTTTGATCCTTATCAATACATCACTGCAAACATTTCAGGAGGTTTGATTGTAGTAGCACCATTAAGGCTGCAGTCTTTCCCAAGAGTAAGATTAATTAAAGACTGTAGGCCTTCCTTCTGAATAGGTGTGTCTAGGCATACACTGTAAATCAGCATCTGGGCATTTGTTGGAATGCTCAAGCAGCTGCTTTTATCTTACCTGTTGCCCAAAATAAGCAATATGTGAGTCAGTGTGGCGTAGTGGTTTGAGTGTTGAACTATGACTAAAGACCACGGTTCAATTCCTTGCTCAGCCATGAAACCCACTGAGTGACAAGTCACATGCTCTCAGTGTCCAAGGAAGGCAATTGCAAACCTCCTCTGAACAAATCTTGTCAAGAAAACTCCATGATAGAGATGCCATAAGTTGGAAATGACTTGATGGCACAAAACAACAACAAATCAGCCCCAGAATGGTTGTGTGAACTGACCATTAATTGTAAATTTATCAGTGCTTCATTTTAATATGGTTTGGATGGTATTCCCACTAGTGCTCCGGCATCCTTCATCCTAGGACAGCTTTCTACCCACTACTTAGTAATTTTATTAAATAGGCTGTTTATATAAGCTGCTAATACTTATTTTCCCTTTCTTTCTTCCTTTTACGTACTGCTTGATCTGTGGAGTTAAAAAATTTAACTCCTTGGTATTCAAGCCATTTAAATGGTGGTGAGATAAAAAAAACCCTCTCCATTTGATTCTTCGCCTTTTCTTTCAGTTTCTGGCTTTTTCTTCATGGAGATCCAGAATTCTGAACAGTGCTTCAAATGAGAACAAAATAGCACCTCAGTTTCAGTAACCCTTCCAAGTCTTCCTTTTAAACATTGCTATTTTTCAAGATGATCAGTTTTGTCTCCTTGGTATTTTCCTTTTCAGGTTCTTTTCCTTACCGTTATTGTTGGAGTGTTGTTTAAATCATTAATCTCATTTTGTGTTTTGCCCATGATTTCTAATCTTGTATTCATTTTGCATCCCAATTGGTATTTGGTTCTTCGTTTTATATGTGAATTCCATTAATGATGCCATCCACTTTCTTTCTCTAGATCTTATGGAAGATTAAATTGTTAGAAGACCTTTTATGTTTATATTTTGTTGATGAGTCAGTTTTGGGTTGTTCCTGCACCCACACACTTTCTCCTTGCTGTGTACAATGAAAGCAGAATTTGAAGCACTTTGCAAACCCAGAAATGTCAGCAAAGAAAGTGCTGAGTGCTCTTCTTTTGTGACCTAGAAGAATAACATTGCCTTTTGCTTTTCCAAAAAGCTGATGACCTTCCTGTGAAGCCTCAGAAAGAATGGCTCCACATGGACAGTATAGAGTTTGAGAAGCTGGAGTGGATGAAAGACCTTCCTCAGCCTCAGCAGAGGAAAACCAAGAAGGTTGGGAGAATAAGATGCAATTTTTCTCTCTCTTTCAAATTATGTTTTGCTATGACAGTCTTCCTTAACCTGGTGTTCTCCATTGAAGTAAAGCTCTCATCAGCCCCAGCCAGCATGTTGATGTTGGTGGGGGATGATGAGGCTGGTGTTGGTAGCCTAGTATATCTGAAGAATGGCAGGTTGGGAAAGGCTGTAATTTCAAGAGTTGGCTTGGGTTGCAAGACCTACACCCAACTAATTTGAGCTATCTGAATGACATAATCAGCAAACAAAATGATCTTGTTCTTTTTTTCTCTCCCCCCCC